GCGGTCTGTAAATATTCGAGTCTAGACCAGACAATCCAGTGATTGATATCATGAACATCGAAATTAAATATGTAAATCATAAGTAACTAAACTAGTCCTAACTATAAATGCCGGTTTTATAGTGCTAGCCCACTGAGATACCATGCCGCAGCTTAACATAGATACCTCACTAGACACAGTATACTGACTTCGAGCTGACCAGTCCTGTTTTAGCCCCTTAATGCCGAGCGCGAGGCAGGGTAACAAGAAGGAGCACATTCTGAGGACTTTTTTTGTTTTACCCGGCGGGTGCCAACCCACGACACACTAGGCGGTAGATGTATACTAATATATCTTTTTTTATATTTCCAATGTAAGGGGAGAAAACAGGTTTTCTATATGTTTGTTCAACCACGAGAACATTTGATAATGCTATAAGTATAGGTTAGACCACGAGAACATTAGATAATACTATAAGTATAGGTTAACCACGAGAACATTAGATAATACTATGAGTATAGGTTAGACCACGAGGACATTTGATAATACTATAAGTATATGTTAGACCACGAGAACATTAGATAATACTATAAGTATAGGTTAGACCACGAGGACATTTGATAATACTATAAGTATAGGTTAGACCACGAGAGCATTAGATAATACTATAAGTATAGGTTAGACCACGAGGACATTTGATAATACTATAAGTATAGGTTAGACCACGAGAACATTAGATAATACTATAAGTATAGGTTAGACCACGAGGACATTTGATAATACTATAAGTATAGGTTAGACCACGAGGACAAAGTGTCTTATCGCTGAAATGGTTAATTAAACCACCAGGCGCGCAGATGGGCCTATTATGAGCAAATATAGCCCTGGTCAAGACAATAGTAATTTCTTTTCTATCTGATCGCTTCGTTGAACGAAAAGCTACAAAATCACAAGTACTGTACAAATACTAGAATGTATAGAGTAACATACTGTATAAAAATGCATAAAACACATTTCGCAGTTCATAAAGGGTAAAGCAATTGGTACTGATGTGAGTAAATATTTAGTTGTTTATTTCATATCCCTTCTTCCCATGTCGCCGTGGCAGAAGACTACATTCGTTAGCCTTCAGTGCGGACTTCGCAGGTTCGAATCCCGCTGGCGACAAATGTTTTTCATGAAACTGTTCTATCATCAAGACAAATGATAGGGGGAAAAAGAAGTTCCGTCATTGCCAAGTGGTGTTTAACTAACAATGTAGTTAGACCACGGTCAAAGACAAAGGAGCCATGGTTTAAAAACATTTAACATACTGCAACAACTATCTTGCTTGTATCACGCGATTTATTTATTTTTTTGTTAAAAACTTCAATATATTTACAAAATTTAATACTTCAACTGATTGACCATCTTGCTTCAATGAACGTATTACGTGTAAACTTCCAGACCACGACATACCCTATTGTTATTACGGACACCAATCTGTGACACAAGCTGTAGATTCAGCTAAATGGCTGAACCGTATCTACATCTTGGAAATTCAACTTGTGTCAAAGCTAGTGTTAAAACACAATACAAAAGCTCTTTGAAACACCGAAACACATTGCAGACAACTCGGTGTCATTCCAGTGCAAGAACTAGTTCAAGCTAGTGATGAATTCCCGAAATCTGACCGATTGGCTGATAATATTCATTTTGTTAATAGTGCTTGTTTACAAAACACTCTCTGAACGTCTTATGAACCGTTTCAGTGAATTTCAGAAAAAAAGATTTGGCAGATCTAGAGAGATGTTTCCTAAAACTTGTCCCTCTGATGACAACGATGTCAATTACAACGAACATTAAAAGGTGGACTATATTGATGTGGACGATCTTTAGTGACTTCTGTTGACAATAAAGCTGCTGCATCTAGAACTTTGAGTGAGTGTGTATAGTTTTGGTGGGGGACACCAGGAATGAGCTTCACACATTGTACCCATGTCGGGAATCGAACCCAGGTCTTCGGCATGACGAGCGAACGCTTTAACCACTTGGCTACCCGACCTCCCCTCTAGAACTTAGAGAGCTGCAGTGCCTTGGTGCTGCATTGTGTGCGCTATTCTCCGGCGATAGCATTTTATTTTGTGTCGTGAACTTTCTTTTCTTTTATGTCAAAAAATGTATCAAAACATTTATTATTAAACATATTGAATTTATCGATCCAGAATGCGGTTGGTGGTTTTAGTGAAGGATTAAGGCTATTTGTTGAATAAAAAAACCAGTGTCAAATTTCTTTCATGTTGGTTTCTGTGGAATAAATTTAATTGGGTATGGTTCTACGCAGTTTTTTTAGCAATATCATCGTCGGGGACACAAGAAATGAGCTTCACACGTCGTTCGAATCCGGGTCTTAGGCGTGACGAGAGAACGCTTTATCCACAAGGCTACCCTACCCCTACCCCGTGCCAGGATTCGCTGGTTGAGGGTTTGAATCCCGTGTTCCGGCCTATTATGACCTTTGGTTTGTCTGCACCGTACCCATTGGCCTATCATTTTGCTAAACGTCCATGATCTGCATCACTCCTCCAGCATAAAGCTGACACGCCCTGATATAACTGAAATAGTATAACAAACAAACAAACAAACCACTGAAACTCAGACTTGTCTCCAAGGGCTATTATTTATTAATCATATCTCTGCTTCCATTGCCAAACAGTGACATAACTTCAAGAGACTACTCTCCCCAGGGAGTTCACACAGCGAGTATTGATACAATGAACACGGAGCGTTGTAAACAAACGCTAGCTCTTGTGCGCAGTTCGGTTGGTAAGCGCTTACAAGGACGCGTCGATCAATAAGAGGAGCGATAAACGTAACACACGATTAAATAAATAGTGGTCACTTGAAAATGTGTTGAGTTTTAAGATCAAAACCAAGCTACAGGTCGAGATGCTGTTTGGTGAAATACGTTTCGATATTTCTTCACGTATCATTCTTCCTACTGTTTTTCTATTATTAGATTGATTGGGTTGTTTTTTTGTTGAACGCCGCACTCAGCAATATTCCAGCTATATGACGGCGGTCTGTAAATAATCGAGTCTGGATCAGGCAATCCAGTGATTGACATCATGAGCATCGATCCACGCAATTGGGATACGATGACATGCGTCAACCAAGTCAGCGAGCCTGACCACCCGATCCGGTCAGTCGCCTCTTACGACAAGCATAGTCACCTTTTACGGCAGGCATGGGCTACTGAAGACCTATTCTACCCCAGATCTTCACGGGTTCTACTAATAGATGAGAAAAAGTTAACGCATAGCTGAAATTAAAGACTTCAGCAAAGCAGTTAAAGAATGTCCATTTATAAGACAGAATTCATTTTTTAATGAGGTTTTTGGTCACAGAAAATGGAACTGTCTGTTGTCTTGAGTTGTTATGTGATATTATGAATTTCGTTATACCGCGTCAACACTGCAGACAGACTCTCTCAAGGATGCACGTGCTGCACGTGCATTACACGCAAAATGAATTATCTGACAGTGCGTGATCGTGATAAATAATAGTCACATGGAAAACAAACTTAATTGGCAATATTCTAAATAAAGTCATAACACATAGTCTGAGAGTTATACTTCGAGCAAACTAAACATAAAACAATAAAAATAAGTTTGTTTTTACATAATTTGGACGAAGCACTTAGATATGGTTTAGGAAAGGAGAATTGAAAAAGTACATTTGTGAAGCATATATTTTCTGCGAGGATACCACGTGTTTGAAATATGGCCTGTCGTTGTTTTGGTTCAATTTTGCATCCATTCGACTCACAGAAATACACGTTTTGTTTTGTTTGTTAACGTCGCACTCAGCAATATTCCAGCTATATAGTGGTGGTCTGTAAATAGACGAATCGGGATCAGACAGTCCAGTGATTGACATCATGGTTATCGATCCCAGCAATTGGGAGACGAAGACATGCAATCAATGGAGAAAACCGGGCTTGAACCCCGATAGTCTTGTGAAAATATTGAATGCACATGAGAATATCCTGTTTTGTATTACTCGTCGTTGTTTACCTCATTGAATAATATGCCGTAACGCAATATAAATGAACTAGCATTGCGGATGTATATATTTGAATAACGTTTGTTTAACAATTCAATGGCAGGGTATGTATTTTATCCTGATAAGATTTTTTGACAGCAACACCTGTTGTGGTGAAACGTATAGGCATATGTGAGCTGTTGTTTAACGTAAAACTCCACAATACTACAGCTATATGACGGCGACCTGTAAATAATCGAGTCAGGACCAGACAATCCAGTGATTGACATCATGAGCATCGATCCCCGCATTTGGGATACGGTGACATGCAATCAATGAATTGACCGAGCCTGACCACCCGATCCATTTCGTCGCCTCTGACCACAGGCACGGGTTGCTGGGGACGTATATGTGGCCCGGCCCTCCACACGTTTTAGAATTATATATCACATCGGGGAACCCATTTTGTACACTTGAGCTGTTTGCATCACTCCAAAACACAACACAAAAGATGTTAGTTTCGATAAAGTGAATAAACTAAAAACGAAATTGAAAATATCAAAAGATTACTTAAAATTAACTAGTTTGTTATGTTTATTAAATTCAGGATGTCCGGTCCTTTCAAACATAATTCTGCTCAAAATATTAAGTATAGGGTATGATAAATTAATTGAAGCGGGCTGTTATTCCTTTTAGATTTTTTACAAATGTTTGTACGTTTGAATCACGTTTAGTTTGATAAAAAAATCTATCATTAAAACCCCTTTTACACTAAATGAGGTCAGGAAATAGTGTTTTGAACAGAATTGGGAACATTGTATATTGTAGCCAATTCACTTGTACTCGAGTGCGCAAGTGTGAAGACCGTTTCTCGCCGTCAGTGAATGATGGAAATATTTTACGTACGGGTTACTCGATTCTCCAACTGGAAGTATTCCTGCAAGAGTGCATGCCCTTTACTGTTTACGCGTAAACCGATGACGTCATGATTTTATGTGCACAAAGCACATGGTCGTTCAAACATGTGGAAGGAACTGTAGTGTTTTCATTCATTTATTTACTACGTACCGACACACTTCATTCACCAAAATGGATGACATAAGGAAGGACGAGCGGTTTGCTCACATCGTCAAGGATCCCCGGTTTCGGACGATGCCAAAGAACAAGAAAAGGGTAAAAATCGACAAACGATTTCAGTCAATGTTCACTGACAAGAAATTCAAGCTGAAATATTCAGTGGACAAGCGGGGCAGGCCAATTCAGTTTACGACAAACGAAAATCTGAGGAAGTATTATGAGTTGTCAGATAACGATGAAGGCGACTCTGCAGATGAGGATGAAGGCGACAGTGACGGTTCTGACGAAGAGAGTAAAATGATTGCGAAACTGCAAAAGAAAGTGGAAACGAAGTCAAAATCGACACACAAGAAGGAAACTAAAGCGAAAAAGACTAATGGTACAAAGAGAGAACAAAATACTAGTTCTGTCAAACATGCAAGCACAAAGAAGAAGAAAATGAGTCGCCAACCAAGTAGTGAGGAAGAACTGGATCAGTCAGAAGAAGAGTCCAGTGAGGACAATTTGAACGTTTCCAAAGGTAACAAAAAAAAAGTTATTAGAAGTGTAAATAAAACAGACATTGTTGATGAAGTAAGCAGTGATGATGTTGAAGATGATGATGATGATGACTCGGACGACGAGTCCGGTGACCTGGGTGACTCTGTGCCTAAAGTTGGGGCAGATGAACCAGATTATGCTCGTGGTGAGGGGTTGATTGAGAGTTCAACCGATGATGATGATGATGATGATGATGATGATGATGAATTGGAGGAGGAAGACGATGGATTTGATCACAAGTGGGGCGAGCTGGACAAGGGAGTGCCAGAAGCAGAAGAGTTGAGTCATCGTCTGGCTATTTGCAATATGGACTGGGATAGGATCAAGGCTGTTGATTTATTTGTGTTATTAAACTCATTTAAGCCCTCTCATGGTGTGATCAATTCTATCCGTATCTACCCATCCGAGTTTGGGCTTCAGCGTTTGAAAGAGGAGGAAATGTACGGTCCGACAGAGCTGAAGGAAAGTGGCCAGGAAGTGGATGTGGATGAAGAAGGACAAGAGGATGAGAATGAAGAGAGTCCGTATCATCGCGAAAAACTTCGTCAGTATCAGCTGAACAGACTGAAATATTACTATGCTGTTTTAGCGTGTGATTCAGTGGCAACTGCTAGTAAGATTTATGATGAATGTGATGGTATGGAATATGAAACAAGCTCTGCTCGCATGGATTTGAGATACATACCAGATGATATGACATTCGATGAGCCTGTTAAAAACGAGTGCCTTACCCTCCCAGATGCGTCAACATACAAACCCCCTGCATTTTTCACTTCCGCTTTGTGTCAGTCAAAAGTTAATCTAACGTGGGACGAAACTGACCAGGACAGAGTGAAAGTGACCATGAAAAAAATGGACAAAAATGGGGAGATAAATGAGGACGATTTCAAGGCCTATCTGGCATCATCATCTGAGGATGAAGCTCAAGGCTATGGTGGTCCGATAGCTCAGTCAGATGAAAGTGATGAATTTTCAGATGAGGACAGGCAAATTGAGAAATATAAGAATTTGTTGAAAGATATTGATGAGTCATCAAATCGTAAAGGGGACATGGAAATGGAGATAGAATGGGAGCCAGGTTTGAAGGACACGACCGATGACATTGTGAAAACTAAGAAAAAGACAAAAGATCAGACTCCATGGGAGGAGTATCAGCAGAGGAAGAAGGAGAAGAAGAAACAGAAGAGGGAGGAGATGAAGAAAGTGCGACTCGATAAGAAGGAAGGAAGGTCCGGAGAGAAGGCGTTCAGCGATGACGAACTCCCGGCAGACTTAGCCGATAGTTTCTTCACTGATGCATTAAGTAGTGGGAAGCTAGAATCTTCCAAGAAGAAGAAAAAGAAGAAAGGGAAGAAGGACTTGACAGAGGAAGAACAAGAAATGTTGAAGAAGGACCAGGCCGAGCTGTCTCTGTTGATGATGGATGAAGAGGATGGGAGTCGTCATTTTAACCTGGGTGATTTGGTGGTGGAGAAGAAGAAGAAGAAAAAGAAGAAGCGACAGGAGGAAGACATGCAACAAAAGAAGGGGGATGATTTTGAGATTGACATGAATGACAGTCGGTTTGGAGCTATATTTGACTCCCACGTGTTCAATATTGATCCCTCTGCTCCAGAATTTAAGAAGACAAAAGGCATGGAAGCAATTATTCAGGAGAAATTGAAGCGGAGGAAGATTGACGGTGGTGTTAGTGAGAGGAAGAAGGCTAAGGTAGAGATGGAGAAGAGAGAAGCAAGGGATGAGCTGATGCCAGTCAAGGAAATGTCCTTGTCCTCGCTTGTGAAATCTGTGAAGGCAAAAACTCAGCAGTTTCAAACCAAAAAGAAAAAGAAATGATGTTCATGATGATAGATTAGATAATTATTTCATAATTTATAGAGAAAAGGATGTCCAGTCCGATCTTTGTAAATGAAGGATATGTATATGCATGAGTAGACAGCCCAGTTATGAGATATTTTTTTTAGTTTACTTAAGTTGTGACAAAGACTAAAAAGTGTCGAAACATGGCCATGTCTAAAGTTAGATTCTGGAAAGTTGATTGGCACAAGTCGAAATGTAGGAGAAACACCCATAAAATCTTGAAAATACATTGAGTGTAAGGGACCTACCATTTGATGGGGAGGGGGGGCTTGAATGTTGTATTGAGACCAGATATTGTTTCAGCTACAGCTGCAGAAGCAGATAGATTAAATTTATGAGCCTGCAGAATTGATACTTTTTGGAGTTAAAGAGAACATAAAAACAGATAAAGTGTTTGATTTACTTTTACTAATTGCAAAATACTATATTTATAGATGCAAATTCCAAAATACAAAACCTCATGTTTATAAAAAGGAAGCTTTTTCAAGATACAACATTGAAAAAGATATTGCTTTCAAGACAGGTAATCAACAGAAATTCTATGGTGCTTGGATGCTGTATCATCAACTTTTCGAAAATGAGGAGCAGCTTTCAATTTAATTTTAGTTTTGTACTTAAGATTTTAATGTTTGAGACCATGTACTTTCCTAAACTGCAATATGATATATAAACAAGAGTGAATGTGTGAGTGAGAAGTATGTTATTTTCTGTAAAAAAAACAACAAAGTAAGATGTACTGATAAGTTGTGCTTTATGTCATGGGCTTTCTGCTACCCTGGGCGGAAGCCCATTTATGTAACAGGTGCGTCTTTCTAAAAACATTAAAAGAAAAAAAATTTAAAAAATTTATGAGCCAATTAAAGTTGAGAAGAACACTTGGTACCAGTCTTTAAATGAATTTATTATGTAGATTGAGTATCTTTGCTTCGGGAGGAATTGTTAATAAATATTGCTGAAGAAAGATCAAGCTGGGATTTTTATGAGTGTGCAATCGTAAGAGTACTATTGTTTTGTATCACATCGGGCCATACATTTCGACAGCAGTGAGGAACATTGAGATAAGAAAACTTTAATTTATGTTGAAATGAACATTCACAGCAGGCATGAGATGGAAACACAGAAAAACATATGGATAGTTTAAACATGAATCTGGACCAGCCAATATGTGGGTCCAGGGACTTTGCTATGGCAGCAACCTGTAAAGACTGGGGTTAGAAGACTCGATTTTGTACAAACGGCCTTCAAATACCTGGAATATTGCTGATTGAAGCGTTAAACAACAAACAAACAAAACGAATCAATATAAACCACGAAGACCCGAGGATGGCAGGAAACAGGTGGGGTATGCCTGTAACAAAACAGTAAAATACTGGATGGATTATAGCTTCGATGCAATAATTACACTGAATTCCGGGGCAGAATAGACCATGGCCCCAGTAACTTGTGTTTTAAAGGGAGGATACTTGGGTCAAAATGGTGATGCATGTCATCGTATCAGAATTGTGTGGATCAATGGTCATGATTTCAATCACTGGATTGTCTGGTCCAGACTCGATTATTTACAGACCTCCCTCACATAGCTGGAATATTGCTGAGTGCAGCGTTAAACAACAAACAGTCTATGGCAGCAATCCTGTTGGCTGTTGGATGGGCCTATGTTGTGAGACACATGATATCATGGTTATTGTTATACAAGTTGCGACACACTTGACTGTTAAATCATTTCGTATACTGTCTACTGTGTGAGAACATTCTCATTGGAATAAACAATAATATTTGTTATGCTTTGTTTCAACATTCCTTACAGTTTCCCAGTTCTCAGGGTGGGTGGAATGATAGGTCTTCCGAACCCTGTGAGACAACTCCAGCAAATATGATCACTGAGTGAGTGAGTGAGTTGGGTTTAACGCCGCTTTTAACAGTATTCCAGTTACATCGCGACGTGTCAGCTTAATGTGGGAGGAAAGCCCGAACTGATGCAGGTCTAAGACGGTTACCACTTCGGTGAAACCCACGAGCACTGGTATGGTGCTGACAAACCTAGAAACATAATCGGGGTGAACCAGGATTCGAACCCACAATCATAGGTTTCTGGCGTGCCCAAGGGACGTAACTCTGCACAACGAATCGCGGCGCCTTAGACGACTGGGCCACCCGTGCCCCCTGGTGATCACTCACTGTGAATAGTACAGACTACACGTAAACTACAAGCATGGGCTGGCTGGATTTTGTGTGTGTGTCATCACACACTCAGGGTGGATCGATGTTCACTGCATTGAGAAGCAGCCTGTGCGTGCCATCAAAAAGCTTCAATGAAATATATAAGTAAGGACACCAGTGTTGCTCCACCTAAAGCCTAAAATCCAGTTGACTGTCGATGGTTGAAATATCCTGTGTAGATGAGGTCCCCAGTGCCCCATGTTGGCCAACAAGACTAGGCTGTAGGGGTGTGGTAGTTACAGAACAACCGTGTTTGCCGTGCCTCACTGAGTGTACAATATTTCCTGTGAACGTTGCTCCCGTTACTGGGGCAAGGAAACAAACAGCAATCACACATGCTTGATATTATAAAAAAAAATTGGCCGTTTTTGGTCCACTGGAAATATTTTGAAGGTGTCGAGTTAGGAGGCACGTTCGAATGGTCGAGAACTACCTGTTTTACCTTCTGTATTTGTATTTACTTCTATCATGATCAAATATATAGGCATGACTAAGTATACCATGTCATTTAAGGTGATGATTGTCTTTTGTATTGTTACCATGGTAACAGGTGGACGCTAATGGGTGAATGTTTAAACAGACACTGAGTATGGTTCCACGCTGCTTTTAGCAATATCATCGTGGGGGACAACAGAAATGGTCTTCAAATTTTGTACCTATTAGGTGATGCATAAACGAAGAATCTGAGATTTTCAGAAAAACTGGAAACGTTATACAATTAAATTCGATATATCCATGACTTTATCTGCATAAAATGATAAAATATTGCTAAAAGCTGCGTGAAAACTCACTTGAATAATTAAAAATGAACCGTTCCAAATATGCAAGTTGACAGTGCATGGGCGGATACAGAGGGGGGGGGGGGGGGGGGGGGGGGGTGCGGGGGTCCTTTTTATTTCGAAAAATGTCTTTATTTCTGTATAAATTACCACCAAAGACAATAAATAGATCTTAATTGTGCACCCCCCCCCCCCCCCCCCCCCCCCCTCCCCTCCCCTTTTCAAAAAAGCTGTATCCGCCCATGCAGTGTGGCGAACATTGTTGTCTCCCTTTGTATAGAGCCGCGATAGTCTTGTGAAAATATTGAATGCACATGAGAATATCCTGTTTTATATTACTCGTCGTTGTTTACCTCATTGAATAATATACCGTAACGCAATATAATTGAACTAGCATTGCGGATGTATATATTTGAATAACGTTTGTTAAACAATTCAATGGCAGGGTATGTATTTTATCCTGATAAGATTTTTTGACAGCAACACCTGTTGTGGTGAAACGTATAGGCATATGTGAGCTGTTGTTTAACGTAAAACTCCACAATACTACAGCTATATGACGGCGACCTGTAAATAATCGAGTCAGGACCAGACAATCCAGTGATTGATATCATGAGCATCGATCCACGCATTTGGGATACGGTGACATGCAATCAATGAAGTGACCGAGCCTGACCACCCGATCCATTTCGTCGCCTCTGACCACAGGCACGGGTTGCTGGGGACGTATATGTTAGCCGGCACTCCACACGTTTTAGAATTATATATCCGAGGGAGGTACCTATTGGTGTACACTTGAGCTGTTCGCATTACTCATAAGAAGCACTAATATTTATACTTTAATGGCTATTTTTACTCTCCAAGAAACCAGTGGCAAGTAAAACCAGTATAAATGTTGAATTACCAAAATTGAACTTAGTTTTTGTTAATTTACAAAATCACTGTTCAGACTTTACTCGTATCTTAATCTTATGCACAAAACTTGATGTCTGTATAGTGTTATTTTTGTTATTTCCTTTTACATACTGTCATCTGAACATAAATATACATAATCACAAGGCCTATAATGTTATTCGCAAGCTCTGTGCTTTCATATGACCTTCGAGGTTAAGTTTATGCACATTTTGATTACATCGTCTGATTCTGATTTTTTTCTTACATATTTTCTACGCAAATTACACACTGGACTCGTTTCGAAATACGCTATGATGAAATAATTTCATAATCACGACGGAAATCGTCGCGGAATCGGTAAATCTCGCTAAGAAATGTATTTCGCAATACCGTAGTGAGTTTTATCGACTAGTACAACCTACCACCACGACGAGAGCACGCATCGATTGCGGCGCGTGACGTCACAACCGACGCATCCATATGACCCCGTTTACCTTGAATGAAATTAATAGTGTACCTGAACAGCGTATTTTGAGAAGCTGCCGTTAAGGTTAGCTCTAGGACCGGCGAACATGTGCTTTCTTCGCTGACGCAGTGTATGACGACAATGGGGAGCTAAATGTGGACGCTATGTGATATATAATATATTCCATGATGTGACAACGCATTTATGCTCAGTGAGAAGATTTGATTGCTGAGAGTCGATTGTCTGCTTCGATTTTGATGCCGACCGTTATAGGATTTTTGTGTGTCGCCGTTCACATGTATATATGGATATATTTGCCCAACTCAAAATAGTCCAAACCACTCAAACCGAAGCATTCAGTGCAATGACCTGTATGTTTTTCAAGCGTCTCATCAAGACTAGGGGTTGTTCCGAGATCGTCTTGCTGAAAGCAGTTCTGCCCAGGAGTTTTATATCGGCTTTTGTATAGGCTATTCACGCACTAAATGAACGTAACAACTTTACACATTCTGTGCACATTAAACATACACAAGACTTTGAAAATCGTTTACAATTATTTCTTTTATATATTTCAACCTTCGCCTCGCCAATCACGTGCTATAAACATGGCATACCCTTTGATCGTGGAGTGGCCAGTCAATTGATAATAATTCCATTTTGTATACGCATGCAGTATGTTATTCTTATATTTATAACATATTCGGCAGAGCGATAAGTAGCACTCTACATGCAAGCACACGCATTATCCGGTATATATATATACATAAGCTCTTTATATAGCTGTATGTAGGCCCGTGTATACATGGACGAGCTGAATACGAAATACTGAAACCAACGACTTGAATAACTAAAAAGTAACGAGCTACATGAATTTGGATTATCTGTTCTGAGTGAATGAATGTTTTCATCGTCAACAGTATGTTAGGAAAGGAAAAGTGAGAAAAAAACAATCCTTGAATGTCCCCTTTGTAAACAGAAGTCACGTTTCTGTTTGTTTGATTGTTGTTTAACGCCTCACTCAGCAATATTCCAGCTATATGACTACGGTCTAAATGATCGCGTCTGGACTAGACAATCCAGTGATTGACATCTTGAGCATCGATCTACGGAATTGGGATACGATGATATGCATCAACCAAGTCAGCAAGCCTAACAACCCGATCTTTTACGACAAGCATGGGTTACTAGAGA